GGGGGGCCCTTCATCCCCCGGCCCGGAGAGCCTGAGACCGCCCCGCAGCCAGCGGGCACGAACTGTGGGGCACGGGGCCTACAGCTCCCGGCATGCACCGCGCACCACAGCTCCCGGCATGCACCGGGGCCAGAGCAAAACAGCTCCCAGCATGCACCGGGGCCAGGGCAGCACAGCTCCCGGCATGCACCGCGCACCACAGCTCCCGGCATGCACCGGGGCCAGAACAGCATAGATCCCGGCATGCACCGGGGCCAGAGCAAAACAGCTCCCAGCATGCAACGGGGCCAGGGCAGCATAGATCCCGACATGCACCGGGGCCAGAGCAGCACAGCTCCCGGCATGCCTTGCGCCAACACGAACTACAGCTCCCAGCATGCAACGAGGCCAGAGCAAAACAGCTCCCAGCATGCACCGGGGCCAGGGCAGCACAGCTCCCGGCATGCCTTGCGCCAACACGAACTACAACTCCCGGCATGCACTGGGGCCAGAACAGCACGGCTCCCAGCATGCAACGGCGCCAGGGCAGTACAGCTCCCGGCATGCCTTGCGCCAACACGAACTACAGCTCCCGGCATGCGCCGGGGCCAGCCCAGCCCCATAGCTCCCAGCATGCACCGGGGCAGAACCGCACGCTCCCAGCATGCACCGGGGCCAGGGCAGCACTGCTCCCAGCATGCACCGCACACCTCAGCTCCCAGCATGCCTTGCGCCAACAAGAACTGCAGCTCCCAGCATGCAATCGGGGGCAGAGCATCACCGCTCCCATCCTGCCTCGCGCCAACCCGAACTACAGCTCCCAGCATGCCCCAGGGCCAGAACAGCCCATCTCCCAGCATGCACTGCGCCAACACAAACTACAGCTCCCAGCATGCACCGGGCCCCGCAGCTCCCAGCATGCACTGTGCTATGAGTTACAGTCTGGGGGTCCCCCCCAAAAATGACCATTCCCAGCATGCACCACTGACCTCAGTGACCCCGCCCGCACCTGGCACAACAGCTCCCCGGCCCCCCTGTTTGCTGCGCCCCGGTGGGGTCCCGCCTCCGGCCTGGGTGACCCCCCAGTTCCTGACCCCGCCAGGCCAGGAAGCGGGGCAGTGATCTGTTTTCAATCCTTCGCTGCGCCCCGTCTCCAGGCCAAGTTTCCCCTCTGGCTTCCCCTCAGCTCTTCCGAGTCGGGGTTCGCTGCTCCGTACCCCCAGCCGGAGCCCTGATTTTCAACCTCTGACCCCCCACTCCCATTCCTTGGCATTTGTGTGGGGGGGTATTTGCTGCCCCCCAGAATGAAGTGGGGCTGGTCCGCGCTTTGTGGGTCCTCCCTCTTGTGTGAGGGGGGCGGCCCTTTCGTTTTGGGACAGGCCTCGGCCTGCCCATCCCGTAGGGTCACCAGATGTCCCGAGTTTATAGGGACAGTCCCGACATTTGGGGCTGTTTCTTATATAGACTCCTACTCCCCCCCACCCCCTGTCCTGATTTTTCACATCTGGTCACTCTATTTTGGCCAGGCCTCGGCCCGCCCTTCCCGTTCCCCACAATCAGGGGCGGCGGAACGGAGGGAGCTAGGGGGCCGTGGCTTTGCCCTCCCGTTTTTACTGTCCATACTGGCCTTGGGGGGAGGGTGCGCGGGGGAGATGCACGGTTCAGGTGCTGGTGGGTCCCCCACTTTTAGGGAGTTTCCATCGCTCCTGCCCACAATGGGTACAGCTCCCAGCATGCACCAGGCCCCCCACACGGGAAGCTTACAGCAGAAGGCAGTGAACTTTATCTCCCAGCATGCAACGGGATCCTACGAACGACGGCTCCCTGCTACAGACACATTCTATGTGTCGTCTCATCCCCCGTCCTGTCCCATCCCGTCCCCCGTCCCGCCGCAGTGCACCTGTCTACACTGAACTACAGGAGAACCTCACAGGGACGCACGCCCTGGGAACGGAAGTGGAGCGTAACGCTGAAATGGCCGTAACTCTGAACAGGGTGCTTCTTGCCAAACTTTACAACGGGATAGGTCAGTGGTTTGAGCATTGGCCTGCTTCAACCCAGGGTTGTGAGTTCAATCCTTGAGGGGGCCACTTAGGGATCTGGGGTAAAAATCTGGGGATTGGTCCTGTTTTGAGCAGAGGGTTGGACTAGATACCTCCTGAGGTCCCTTCCAACCCTGAGATTCTATGACCTCATAGCACTTTGAAACTTTCCTCTGCAGAAGAAGGGGGGAAAAGGCTGCTTTTAACCCTCTTAATTTAAATGAAACAAGCCCAGAAACAGTTTCCTCGTCTCGTCAGATCTTTCTTTTTTTTAAACTTTCCCATTATTTTTTTGTAGTAGTTTGCATTTAACACAGGACTGTGCTGGATTTGTCGGTTTGTCTCTGCGGCTGTTGCATGACTGTGTACGTCCGGTTCCCAAGGAGGGGTGTGGTTAGCGTGACCAGATGTCCCGATTTTATAGGGACAGTCCGGATCTGGGGGTCTCTCTCTTATATAGGCTCCTATTACCCTCCCCGCCCCTGTCCCGATTTTTCACACTTGCTGTCTGGTCACCCTAGGTGTTGTTGACCGGTCAGTTCATCACTCGGGTGTTCACAATGCTGAGGTTCTACTGTACCGTTCCCGTCATAACCCAAAAGCAACAGCCGACATCAGTCTCTGCAGGAGGGGGTTACATACCCTGTGACTCCCGCTCAGCTCCGGGGAGCAAGAACTACACCCCCCATCATGCCTCTGGGACCAAGTTTGAAAGGTTTCCCGCCCTTCCTCCCTGCCACCCTGCTCTTTAATGATCTCTTAGTCAGAGGGGACCCCCCCCCCAGCAACACACACTACCAGCCCCACTGTCTTCAGCCGGCTCCCTCCGGCCCCAAACCAGCATCAGCACAAAACGACATGCCCTCGGTGGCCCTGGCAGGCTGCAGGGGAAATGAGAAGGGGAGGTCAGAGGGGCTGATCTGTGGGGCCCGGGCCCCCCTACCTACCCTCTTCAGGAGAGCCCCGAGCCTGCAACCCACTTACCCCATGGAGAGCTCCCAGCCCAGGGTACCTCCCCCCCAGAAGACACCTTGGCTCAGATTTTAGTCAGTCCCTGCAGCCCCTAGTGGCAGCTGCACTCCCCAGGTCTGGGGGAACCCCCCCCCCCACAGTGGTGGCCCCCAGGAGTCGCTCTCCCCAGGGCTCAGTCTGTCCCACCAGGCAGATTCCCGCCCCCCCATACACACACACACTTACCTAGCAGGCTGCTCCAGAAAGAAGGGAAGGTTGCCGCCCCGGTGACAGCTCCGGGGGAGGCTGGGTTCCTGCGGCTGGTGGTGACCGTGAAGGCCTGGTCCCTGCGCTCGCCGAACGGGCCGGTCACCTCCACCTCCACCACATGCCAGTCAGGGAGGCTGTGGGGACAGGAGGCCAGGAAGGTCAGTGGGGGGGGGACCCAAGCTGGGGGAAAGAGACATGCGGGTGTGTGTGCAAGGATCAGGGCAGGGAGTGGCACTGACCTGGCTGGAGAGGAGCAGAGAACTGGGGGGGGTCAGGGAGCAGGGAATTGGGGGGATTCATGGAGCAGGGATCGGGGGGTTCAGGGATCAGGGGTGCAGGGAGCAGGTATCGGAGGGAGCAGAGAACTAGCAGGGTACAGGGAGCAGGGATCGCAGGGAGCAGGGAACTGGGGGGAGTGCACTAACCCAGGGTCAGCAATGAGGCACCCCTGGACCCCGTCGAAGCCCAGGCTGGGGGCGGCCATGCAAGCAGCCGCCATGGTGTTGACGTTGTTGGGGGCCAGTGGGCAGAGAGCCCGCACGGGCCCCTCGTACAGCACGGCCCGCCCGGCCCTTAGCTGCTCCCTCAGCGCCCCCTCCAGCCGGAAGCTGTCCGGGTGCTTGATCATGGTCACCTTCAGGCCCTGGAAAGCGACGTCAGAGAGTCAGCCCGGGGGAGGGGGGCAGGGACAGCCCCCCCTTGCCCACCCCCACTTCCTCAGTGGTTTGAGCATTGGCCTGCTAAACCCAGGGTTGTGAGTTCAATTCTTGAGGGGGCCACTTAGGGATCTGGGGCAAAATCAGTACTTGGTCCTGCTAGTGAAGGCAGGGGGCTGGACTCGATGACCTTTCGGGGTCCCTTCCAGTTCTAGGAGATAGGTATATCTCCCCAGTGGAGCAGAGGCAGTTCCTTGTCACTGTCCCTCGCCCCACACCAGGGTCCACGTGCCCCCCCCCCAGGCAGGCCTGAGACGCCCACCTGCAGCACACCCCTCTGATCCATCCGCTGGATGTCCTCGCCGCCCCACAGCGCCCCCCGGGGCACGTACAGCGTGTGCCCCCCACGCCGGGCAGCTTCCCGCAGCCGCATCTCCGTGACCTGGTCAGCCAGGGCCGTGGGGGAACCCACCTGGGGTCGGGGGGAAGAAACCTGGTCACGGGAAAGCTGCATGCTGTAAGTCAGGACCCCCCCACACACATGCACCGCAGCCCCCCACCGGGGCGCCCTCACTCCCCTTGGCCACCCCCACGTCACACCCGCCTCCCCGCAGAGTACGTCCCTGCCCACTGCCACCCCGTCCCCCTAGGCATCCCCTACATGGCACCATCACAGCCCCAGGGCTTCCCCCGCCCCCTGCCCCCTCGTGTTCCCGCACCCCTGGCAGGGCCCCGTGCTGTGCCCGCTCCAGGCCGCCTCGTCCCCTGGGGACCCGCTGCCGGCCAGGGATGCTGACGCTCCGACCCCTCACCATGAAGTCTGCCCCGGACAGGAAGGAGGCGCCGTGGTCCCGGACCACGCAGGGATGAGCCACTTCCACCACCAGATCCACCTCGCTGCAGGGACACGAGACAGTGATGGGGGGGGGGCACCTTAACCCTGGCACTGCCCGTGCTGGGCTGGGCTCGAGCAGCAGCCACAGGGTCTCAGGGGCCCGGTCCTGCAGCTGGGGGGGGAACCAGGCCAGGTCCTGCAGCTGGGAGGGGGGGAACCGGCCAGGTCCTGCAGCTGG